GAGTTTTTGGGGCCACTGGATCAGGGACCCCAGTGGCCACTGCTGGCTCTGGGCTGGCAGGCTTGGAGCTGGCACAGGCACTGTGGCCAGGGTCTATCCCTTTAATGGCTCCGGGGTTGGGGGAGAGGAGAGTAAGTTTTCCTGGTTGTGCCTAGAGTGGCCACCAGGGCTCATTGGGAAGGGCTGGAGGCCCCCTATTTCGAATTAAGTGTCTACACAGCATAGCTATTTTGAATTTGGCATTACTCCTTATAGAATGAAGTTTACCAAATTTGAATTAAGGGCTCTGGTATTTCGAATTAAATTCGAAATAGCAGTTTGCATGTCTACACAGCGCCAAATTTCAAAATAAAATGCTATTCTGAAATGTCCCTTACTCCTCATTGAATGAGGTTTATAGGAATGTCAAAATAGCGAGCCTGAAATAATGAGTTTGCTGTGAAGACGCGGAATAGCTATTTTGGAATACTCTGGTATCCCAAAATAGCATTGTAGTGTAGACATATCCTCAGAAAGCTTCATTGCTTTTCTCTGAATTTTATCCAGGTTTCTAATAGTCTTTTTCATATTGTGAGGTATCGAGAACTGGATCTATTTTTAAAGGTCTAGTATTTCCCAAATTAATTTAAGGCCAAATTATAATTTCCTTACTACTACTGACTAGCACCTTATTCTGTGAGTGATCTGATTAATTCCAGTGGGACCATTGAGTGATCTGATTAATTCCAATGGGACCACTGATAAAATAGGTTTATACTCAAATTGAGTCAGGCTATCAGTATCTGGCTGCTAGACAGGACTATTATTTCCCTGCTATGTGGAATGATGCTATTACCTGCACAGCCCAAAATCATGCTGGCTTGTTTGTTTTTGTTTGTTTGTTTTTTGTTTTGCTGCCACAATACACGGTGTGTTCATATATAGATTGCCTTTCGTTGTCCTCACAGCTCTTCCAACATTGCTTTTCAAGTATCTTCCTCACATTGAGTACCTGTGTTTTGGAGTATTACTGTCCCAGATGTACTGCCCTGTATTGGTTTGGGTAATTTGGATGCTGCAAACCTGTATGGGTATGTCTACACTACACTGCTAGTTCAAACTAGCGGGGTAATGTAGGCATACCACACTTGCAAATGAAGCCCGGGATTTGAATTTCCTGGGCTTCATTTGCAAGTGCGGTATGCCTACATTACCCTCCTAGTTTGAATTAGGAGGGTAGTGTAGACATACCCTATGTGAGAAATCAAGTGTGTAAAAATACTGTGTGTTAGTATTAACTGAATCAGGTCCTGCAGGAAGCAAAGGAAGCAAATAATTCATGTATCATTGATGCAATCTGAGGACAGAGGGGTAACAGAAGTAATTTAGGTCTTGTCTACATAGTTGCGCAATGCATCTTTGGGGATGTGATTTCTACAGTGTACTAATGGGTTTGTGCAAACCCTGCTAGCTCCCACTAAAGGTTCCCTAGTGCAGAGTTTCAAAACCTTTTTTCTTTCAGTGCCTGCTTTCCCCCCAACATGCCATAAGAACTCCATGGACCACCTGCACCAACACAACTGCTTTTCTGCGTATAAAAGCCAGGCCCAGTGTTAGGTGGTAGCAAGCAGGGCAATTGCCTTAGGCTTGGCCCCACACCACAGGGGGCCAGCAAAGCTCAGGCTTTGGCTTCAGCTTCAGGGGGTAGGGTTTGTAACCCTGGGCCACAGCCCCACACAGTGACACTTCCACTTGCTTCCATCCACTGGCATGAATTTTAACACTGACCCAGCATGGCAGACCCCTGAAATCTGCTTGCAGCCCTCCACAGCACCCTTGGAACTTTGGTTGAGAACCACTCTAGTGCACTTTAACATAGTACTGCTTCAAACAGCACTATTTTAAAAGCACACCAACAGGGGTACACAGATCAGTTAATGCACAAGACCTTAGTGCACTTTAAAAATCAGACCCTCACAGTGCACGTTACCCCATGATGCAGAGAAACCCTTAGATTCATTTTTAGGAGTCTACCATTTCTCTATGAACACATACTGTGGAAATGCAGTCATGTGCACTCCATGATGCATGTACATTTCAGCAGTGTATGACAGATGTGTTTCCTGACAGACCATTAGTCATTTGCAAGCACCATCATATTTATTGCTGTTTGTGACACATTTAAGTATTGCATATAGTTAAGTAGGATAAGCTTCTCAATGAGCAAATCTCGGGGGAGTGATAGTTGCACTTTAATACTCTAAGCATCAATTAATTTTGTAATGACTTATACTGTTGGTTGTGGAATTGATTGGACATTAAGTGCTGGTCTACACACATTTGCATCAGCTTAATTAAATTAATTTAAATATCACAGCTGGAGGAAGGCTTTAGAGGGGAAACATAGATAACTCTCCAAAGCTGGAGGAAGAGTTTTGTGTTTGGGGTGGTTGTGGGTGGTTGAAAATAGGGGTCATAATGGTAATATTTTCCATCTGCTCAGAAAATATATGTAGTGTATAGTCATTTCTCTTTAGGATAAAGTGTTATAAAGGTCTTAGGTGAATTATTGACATTTATTCAATGACATGTGGTTGTGTACCATGAAGATGCTGAAGTTTGATTCTTCCCTCCCTGACAGCTGTGCCCACTGCATGTGTCCAAATCTGAATGGTAATTTGCCCATGTGTAAATGACAACAGAAGGGGCAAGTCAGTAGAGGAATATGTCCATTATCCTAATCTGCCAGTATTGACAATCTACTGCAAAAGTTAAGAAGTAACACTAAAAGAGTGGCACTAGTTTGAGGTTGCTTTTAAACTTAACAGACCGTCTAAACCAAAGCATGTTTTCCCCTCAGATTTCTCTTTTATTTAGAAATGAGTGAATGAATGGTGGTCATCTTTTCATGGGACAGCATTCTTTCCTCTTTTATAAAAACCTTGTACTAGAAACCTTGAGGAAAAAAATCTCTTGTGTTGTGAAAAATCTAATTCAGTAATTTTTTAAAATAAATGACTTTTTCATTGGTTTGTTACCACTATCATGGTTGCCTTAAAAATCAAAGTAACGTATTAGAATCAAAATCTTTACAATGCTACTGAAATTGTATTGTGATTTCTTTGATGTGATCCCTTATTGCTGTTAGTGAGAAGACTTGGTTACGTATTTTTGTTCTTAGATCCCCCTCCTTTGTCTTGCAGCTACTTGTGGCAGATTCCACTAACAATTGCAGTAGGAAATACGAGCCACATCTCTTCAGAGACAATTATATGGGTGGCTAACAAATCAGGTAAAAATAAACTTTCCTCACAGTGGAATCTTGTAAAGCATACATGTGTTTTACTGAACTGTTTCTCAGAATTGATCCTAGGTAATTGTTTAGTTGCCGTGCACCCAATTTCAGCTGCTTGACAATGAATTGCAAGAAAGAATTTTTGGGAGGGGAGGGAGGAGAGGAAAGAACCGGGTAATTTTCACAAAAGTTAGACAGTTCAAAGAAAAGCTTTTAAAAAGAAGGATGTTCCAGAGCAGCTATTTCATATTTGAGATCACATACTAAACTATTGTATAAATGCAATTCCCTATATAGAATGGTGAGGGCTAAATAAAATATCTTTGAAGTAAAACCCCTGCCAAATGTAGAATCTGTAAACTAATAAATGCAAAATTTGCAGTAATGCAATATTAAGGTTAGGAATACAGGTTTTTTTAAAAAATTTTTATCAATCATCCACATCCAGAGTTGCAGTAATGCAATATTAAGGTTAGGAATACAGGGTTTTTTTTAAAATTTGATCAATCATCCACATCCAGAGCTAAGAAATATTTAGTGTCCTCCAAAATCTTTTTGTTGATCTGCCAAAGTGTTTCTGGCCCTGGTAGGTTGCTAGATATTGGAGCATTATTCTGATTACCATCTTGCTTTTTCCCCTTGCTTCAATTCTGACATGATCACAGTAACTACTATAACAGCCAAAGCTAGGAGCCAATACCTTTTATCACCAGAAAGCAGCTAGGAATACCATCTTGCAAATGTTAGAAAGCATTCCTCTCTTTTCCCTGACAGCACATGCTGTATCTGCTACTGAATTTATGTCAGAATTGAAGTGGATGAAGAAAAAGTTGGGGAGTTGAAGGATAAGATTAGAAGAAGTGGAAAAGAAGGAGCCATACACCCCCTACATGTCTGGGCAGTAGAGGAAGAATTGACCTGGTTCACAGTACAGAAAAGGTATAGCCTACGAGTTTCCTTCCACGGTATATAGAACTAGAAGGAAGAAATGGCCAAGCCGGTGTGTGCCTGTCTTTTCCTTTTTGTTCTTTTACAGGTCAGTGGGGGATAATAGTTCCATAGAGCTTAGCAACGTCAGGGCTGAACATGAATGGTGTATACCAATAGAGCAGTGGAAATATGAGAATCCCAACTTTCTAGTGATATATGCTGTGTTTCTAGCCCTGACTGTTCATGGTATATCAGACCTTAATAATTTATTACTGCTCCCATTATCTAGCCTATTTTTTGGCCCTGGTCAAGGACTGGGGTCTGGGACCAGTGTAATTTTCATTCTAGAATTTAGACACGCACTGGTCAGGAAATGAAAATGACGCTAATTTTCTAACAGCAGCATTATGCTGAACACAGTGCAATATTTCAAGTCCTTCAGACTCTGCCTCATCTTTCTGGTTTGCTCTCATTCCACTGGATTTGATCCAGCTTCCACTGAAGCCAATAGCATTCCTATTGACTGCAATGGGAGCTGATCATGCCATATATCTGTCTGTCTGTCTGTCTGTCTGTTTCTCTCTCTGAAAACTCATTTGTCAGTCTCTTATGTATTTAGCTGCACAATTTCTTCCTTGCTGCCCTTTACTCATGGAATGCTTTCCTTCACCTCATCCAAAAATGCTCCCTTGACCAGCACCCTTGAAATCTGACCCCTTCCGAATAAGGGATTTTGCTGAACCAGGGAAGGTCATTTCTGGACCCCCTGCTGCCAGCCCTCCTGCTCAGTCCGCTAGTCTCCTGGAAGGCTCCTCACCTCCTGCTGGCCATGTTGCCATGCTGACCCCACTGGAGCCTGCAAGCAGCCGCGTGTGCCATGTTGGGGCTCCGGGCACCCCCAGGCAGCCACACATTGGGGCTTCCTGCCCCACTGAGCCACCGCAGGTCCCAGCCATGCCGGGCAGCCACACAAGTATCTCCCAATCCTGCTGGACAGAACTGCTGCCACATGCTGATGGCAGGCTTGTTGATGGCAGTCCGCTGCTCTGCTGGTCCAGCAGGGATCCTTGCCACTGGCTCTCCACCAGGACTCTCTGGTCCTGTAACATCCTTGCTAGACCATGGATGTTGCCGGACCAGAGAATCCTGGTTAAGAGAGTTTCTACCTGTACTACACTCAACTCTAAAAGACATCCTCAGAGATGCTTACAAGAAATAATCAAACTAATGTTGTCTATATTGAGCAGTGATTTGGGGTGACTGTTACACTTTTGAAACAACTTTCAAATGATTTAGAGCCATTATGTGGTGTGCATAGCTAATCAATGTGATGATGATCCTTTGTCTTTATGCTTGTTGCTCTCCTATCCGTCACTCACTAGTTGTGGCCTATTACAAATTTGATTGTGAACTTATTGGGGCAGGGATGGTAGCTTGCATGTTTCTACAGTGTCTAGCATAATAGGATATTTGGATATGTTAAATACATGACTCATTTTACCCATTGTATTTGCAAAGTCCAGTGATTGATGCTATTGTGGGAATCCGAGGAGGTTTTCTGCAGCAGATACAAGGATGAAGTGCTTGGTGCTCGGGAAGTGTTTTGAGTCTGAAGGAGGCAGTTTCCAAGCTGAAAACACAGATGAAAATAAATGAAAACAATAATATCTCGTAGGACTTCTGGGGAGGAGCTGGGGTGATGGTACATGCAGAGGGTAGCAGATATACCTTCTTGCTGGGGAAGAGCCAGATGTGGCTGCCTGCCACCTCTGTGGAAAAGCTCCCTGCCCCTGTCACGTAGCCAGGAGAGACTTTGAGACTAACATCCTGTGCTGCCACATCCACAAGAGGCACTCTGAAGTGCAGGAGGGTGCACCAATATCCTTATCTTGAAGCCAGCAGCTATGGATTTTTTCAATCACAACGTTGGGCTGGAAAAATGAAATATGAGACAGAGGGAAAAGAATGTCAGAGAGATTTATCACATGATCCATTCACACAAGTCTCCAAGACACTTGACACAGTGGTTTGTCTCTTGTGCCAGTAGCTCCACAGGTAGCAGGTTGGTCTGTCTGCCTCTGTCTGAGGCCTTCCAGTGCAATAATTAACACAAATTATATGCAGTCCATAGGAAAGATACTGGGCCTGGTATCTGACCATGTGGTGGAGTTAGGTATAGTTACATTTTGTGCTCTGCATGGTGGACTCGCATAGATGTTCTTCCACTTGCCACATTTCAGAGAGGAAGAGGCTGAGTCTGGAGAGCAATAATGGGTCAAGAACATGAAAATCCCCCTAGCAGTCCTCCTCTTCCTCCCCCACCATTGCCTCAGGGTCTTCCATCAGTCTGCTGCTGGCATGTTCCAGGTGGGATGGTCCTGAGGAAGCAGCTGTTCCATTCATGTGGATGAATGAAATCCTCTTCACCTTCTCTGTAGACAGGTGTGCACTTCTTGGAGACTATAGAGACTGGTGTGCTGAAGAAGTGTTCTGTGCACATGTCTGATGGTGGGCAAGAGAAGTGGAAGAGATACAGCCAAGAGATGAAATGCTGGGTCCAATATGCATCTTCAGCTGCCAAATAATGAAGAGCTGAGTCTGTGGGCACTAGTCTGATATCTTGGCATAGCATTACACCACCCTGTGTGTCACAGTGGCAGTGCACACCTCTCCAAGAGGGAAGGAGGCAGAGTCAACCGGAGAAAAATCCTCCACACTGTCACAGAAGGGAATAGGCCTCTCTCCCTTTGTATCCGTGGAGGTGCTACTCTCCTACTGTAGAATTGGCTTTAGTCTTGAATTCTGGTGGTGAAGATGGTGAGGCCCACATCTTGAAGACCATGGCAATATCACACAGTTGATTTTGCAAGGGGAGTACATCCATCTCTCTGTTGCCTGAGAGGAAGAAGCCATGATACTTTTCAAACGGGTACCTAAATATATAGACACCAAGTAGTGCTCCTTCTGTCTTCTGCCTCAGAGATGTCAATTTTCCAAAAGCGCGGACAGCGTGACTCCCACTCCAGTACTGTCACTCTGTTAATAGAAGAGGTTCTTCATGTGTGTCCATTTTATCTCCAGCAGGCAGCAAGGAAATGGCACAGAGAAAGGCAACAGTGATTAAAGGGTATGGAACAGCTGCCATGTATGGAGAGAAAAAGAGAATGAGACTGTTCAACTGTTGATAATTGCTGTTGAGACTGATGCATTATGTGAACACTTTTTCCCCTACTGTTCCCTCCAAAACTTCATCTACCAATAAGGGGTCAGTGATCTTCCTTTCCCTTCATGGGAGCCATGACTAACAACCACATCCCTTTTAGAGGGGAAACACTGGAGCAAGCTTTTATAGAGAGTTGTAGTTGCTGGTTAGAGATGTCTTTTTTTCTTTTCTTTTTTTTTTTACAGAAATGGTCAAATTAGCATGGAATAAAATGGTCTAATGCTAGTATAGCTTATTCCATTTCCATTTCACTAGCAGGCTCATGCCGCTTTGTTTACTTAAACCATCGATAGCCATGGAACCTCACAGCTGCCATGGGCTCTGATTTGCTTCCTGCATCTCCCCTAGGTGAACTGGATCCAATGGGAGCCGCAAGGTTCCATGGCTATTGACCCTTTAGGTAAACAAAGTGGCACAGGCCCACTAGCAGCTTTCCCAAAGCGGGATTACAGCCCACTTTGAGAAACACTGCCCTACAGGAAGAGCCATACCAGTGTCTACCAGTTAGGACAGGCTGACAAGTTTCAGACACCTTTTTCATTAAAGGCTGTTTTGGCAAAATAAAGATGTTTTGCGGGAACATATCAGTTTCAACAAAATTAATTTTTTGAGAGAAAATTTCCCTTCCTCTAAAATGGCTTCACCCTCAGGTGATTCAGGAGGAAATACAAAAGTAATTAAAGTTGTGCTAAATTCCACCTCATCTTAATCCTTACCACTTCCTGCAACCTGAGTTTTTAAATTCTGCCTCGGAGGGGTATGTTGTTCCTCTCTAGAGGAGCCATCTGCCTCAGACTGCTGCCTCCCCTATGAAGTCTAGTTCCCTGCCTTTACTTCCTTGGGT